TGATGCAGCGTATCGTTGGTGTTGTTGGTCGTTGAGCATACGGACAAGTGTGGAGTTACGTGCTCAACAAGTTTCATTTCTNGTTTTGTTTTTGATTTATTTTTCTCTTATTGANTAGGATAAAGTTTAACAACTTATCAGTTTAGATTTAGGATTAGATCGTATCTTTGTCATTTTNGCTTTATAAAGAGTCTCAAGTCTTTGTATCAACATCATTGATTTGAAGTTAATAAAAAACCCCAAAAAGAGGCAATCTTAATTGCCCAAAGATCTTGCCTTCGTGTAGGACCTGAGAGGAGGACTCTCATCTCTATCCACTTCGTGCCATCTCGTTTCGTTTCCGCTCTCACAAACCAACCATCTCGGCCATCATTCAATCACATCATTCCATCAACCTCCCCTGTTTTCACGTGCTCTGTTTTTACGTTCCGAAAGCAGAGACTCACTTCTTGACAATCTTCCGCCTCTACACCAATTGTGAGATCAGGATTACAATATGGAGTTGAGTTCGTGGTGTATAGACATCATCCATCTCTTGTCCATTCTGAATACGCCGTGCTGGTTCAGTCCATTGGTGGGAATGACCGATTAAGAGTGTGGTCGGATATCCATTGTACTGTTCGGCTAACCGGAAGCGTCGCAAAGACACTGCTGGTTATTTACGTCAATGGAGAAGATATGAATGTGCCTTCTTGTTTAGGGGACTGCACAGTGGAAGAGCAAACAATACGTAGATGGAGCCCAGAACTTAGCCGTGAAGATGAAACCAGAACATGATTAAGCTTCCGACTCTTAACCGTTTGGTTTTCCATTTCCGGTTAGATCTCTCAATCCGTTTTAACAAATATTTCGATTCAAAGTTGAGTTGTAATGCTTATTTCTAGAGGAAGTAATCAAATGAACTAGAGATTCTGATTGTTACATAAATAATAATAATATACACACAGGAAAATGTGTTACATACCAAAAACAAACACAAAAGTACTACTCCGATTTTTTATCATAAGCAAGTGAAAACATAAATGAAACCTTTCCATCTTCTTTTGTTTCTCATCAGATTTATATTAACATCTAATGAACTATACCATAACTTTGATCAAAGGTGGAAATGACTAGGGTGTGATTTTGTCATCCTAGCTTCACCGGCCGGCTCATCATTATCAATCCTCTTGACATTCCTATAAGCCGCATAAGCAATCACATAGAAGATAACGAGAATGATAAGTACCACAATGTTGATCACTGACACTTTTCTCCAGCTCTTCTTCAAGCTCCCAAGAACCCCAGCTTTACAAGCGCTGCACTGATAACAGAGCATGCTCTGGTCGTTGCTCCACAGCATACAGTCCGGGTTTGATCCTATCATCCCTCCTCCCGCTGTCCACACCGTCTCATTCCCATATGAATATCCGCAATCTGTTGGCGGCTTGCAACAGCCAGACTGCAGAGTAAAGATCATGGTCCGCAAAGTTAATCACGCTTTTTCTATCTGATCATAATTCACAAGCAGGTGAAGCAGACACACT